CCCCGTCGGGGAACTTTCCATTCCACCCTCTGCACTCCTCGGCTTTGGTCACCGCACAAAGCCAGGCCAGCGGCGGCCGGGCAGGTCCGGCAGCAGGGGACACGGATGCCCAGGACGCGGGGATCATCGGTAACTACAAAGAAAGAGAGGGTGGGGGGCTCCGGGAAGCGCCTGCCATCTCTTCTTCCCCGCCTCCGGCTCCGGTTCAAGTTCAGTCTTGGCGGTCGCCGTCGCCCTCAGCCGGGTTGGGGTCTGAGGCCAAGACAATGAACCCGAGCCCAGGTTCTAGGGTGCTGCGGGGAGGAGCCAGGCGTGGGCGCCCGGGAGGCAGGTGAGGCTGGGGTGTGTGGCCTCCGGACCCCCACCCAAGGCATCCGGAAAGGGTGGCCCCGGCCCTGGCGGCACCGCTGCTGGGCCGGGTGTGTGCGTGTGGGTGGCTCTGCTGTCCAGGGTTGGGGACTAGGCATGAGGACTCCGGAGACTATTGACGCTGGGCACACCTGGGTCCCCATTCTCTAGCAAGATCCCAGAGGGACCTGGGAGAAGGACCAGGACCTGTGACCTGTTCCAAATCCTGTTTGTTCCTCTCTTGTCCCCAAGCCTGGCATGCATGGTGAGCACAAATACATGTTGAATGAATGAATGAATGAATGAATGAATGAATGAATGAATGAATGAGAGGCCGAGTGAATGGGAGCCTGGGTGGATGACGCTTCTGGCAGGGCCCTGGCAGGGTCAGCTGGGATGAGTCCCTGACCTGTCCCTTCAGCCTGAGATCCTCCAGTTGGTGTGGGGGGACAGCTCCCATCCTCCACCTCTTTACAAAATCAACCCCCCCCCCAAAAAAAATGAGGCCCTAAAAAATCTAACTCCTCCTTGTGGTCCAGGAGGGCAGGGGGCTCACAGTGGATCAGCAGCCAAGCTGGGGTCCCTGCTAATGAAGGGGACCCCAGTCCCTGGGATATCTGAGTACCAATTTTGAGGAAGATTTTGGGGTAATAGGGGTGAGTCCATGTGGCCCCCAGAGTTGCTGTAAGGGGCATGGTGAGGTCAGTGTCAGAGGCCAGCTGGGTGCTGGAGTGGACTTGTCTGCACCCCAAAATCATCAGCAATGGAGGGGTTGGGCTGGATCTTTCTCTGGACCAGAGCCTGAGTTTCCAGGGAGTGAAGTGGGTTTTTGTTTGTTTGTTTGTTTGTTTTGTTTTCTGGTTTGAGAATGTTGGGGCCTAAGGACACCTCTGGGTGTTTTGCGTCCTTTGGGAGGGCAGAAATTGAGCCGCAAAGTGTCTGTGATAGCCACACGGAGGGGTCCTGACTGTTGCCCAGTCGCTCCCTTTCCTACCCCTAGAATGCACGGGGCAGTAGGTCCCCAACCTGTGTGGCACCCAGCAGGACCTGACCTGGCCACTTGGCATGAATCAGACATGGGCAGGAGCCAGGGCCATTATTCTGCCTCTGGGACTCTGCTGTGTGACTCCTGGCCAGTGCCAGCCCTCTCTGGGCCTTAGCCAAAGCAGGGTGGCATTGAATGGGAAGACCTGGGGGAGGGAAGGGACCCAAGGCCCTGCTGCCAGCACTCCTTTCATGTGATTTTATTTCTGGGAAGCCAGAAGTGTACCTGCCAACTGTTGGGGTCAGAGCAGTGGGAGCCCCCCCCCCCCCACCAGGTAGGTGGAGAGCAATCATTTCCAGAGCAGATCCTCCCTGGGTGCCCGGATGTGGAGTCTTGTGAAGTGGGGGCTAGGGGAGCTGTGCAGGCACCAGGGATGCAGTGGGAATGTCCTGGGGAGCACCCCTGTGGGGCACCCCAAATGGAGGGGTCATCCAGGTTCTCCTTGCCTGCAAGTTTTGCCCCTTACCTTACTGAAGCAACCCCAGAGCAGCTTCAGAATGTCGTGCATTTTAAGGAAACTGAGTCCCAAAGAGAGGGACCCGCTTGGTTTTCACAGGAACTCCTCTAGGCCCCCATCCCCCACACACCTCTCATTCCCAGGCCTGGGGATGTGGAGAGAAAGCTTTAGGGCATAGGGGTAGCAGCTCCCCAGCCAGGATAAGGCCCGCAAGGACGGTGTGGAGAGGGTGGGGGAGGTGCTGAGGACCCCAGAGGGGCTTGGGAAGGGGAGGGTGAGGCCAGGGTCAGGTTCAGGGTGTGGCAGGGGTGTGATGGGGTTAGGGTTAGGGCTGTTCCTGGCTTTTTGGAGGCAGGGATGCAGGCAGAGATAGACGTGGAGTCAAGGAGAGATATAGAGACCCCGGGACCCCAAGGGAGCAAGGGGCCAGGGAGAGATGGAGAAGGGGTACAGGGTAGCCAGCCACTCCCGGAGCCCCAATTCTGTGCCCCACCCAGAGAAAGGGGTCCAGCGCATCGCCCCCGCCAGGCGGACCCTGGCTACCTAGTAGCTCCTGAAGTCTCCTGGGGGGCAACCTGATGGGCAGGGATGACCCTGCTTCAAGGGGACCATGAGGAGCCCCCCACGCGGGGATAGCATGTGAATGCCTCCCCAACTCGGGTGGCTGCGCGGCCCCCTTTAAGTAAATCGCGTCCGCATTTGCATGCTAATGACAATATTTATCTTAAAGCGGCGCTGGGGAGCTGGGGATGGGAGGGCCCCCCCAGGGTGGCGGGGGCCGCGTTGCCATGGGAGCGGGGGAGGGAAGGGGGCGGCTGCAGCGGGGGCGCAGGGTGACCTAGCTGCGGAGCTCCTTAGGGAATCTCAGGCTCTAAGGCAGGCGCAGACTCCACCTTGCCTCAGTTTCCCCAGCTGCCTTTAGGAGGCTGTGGAGCCTCCTATGTGTGACACTGATGGCGTTTCTGTGGTCCAGTTAGGTGGAGAACATGCACTGAGTGCCAGCTGTGTTCCAGTGTGCGTGTGCGTGCGAGTGTGTGCACATGTGTGTGCGAGCGTGTGTGTGCACGTGTGCGTGTACACACTGTCATCTGGAACTAAGAGAGATTCCTTGGGGACCCACGGTGGGACAAGCTGGGTGTTAACCCGCCCTCCAGGTGGAGGAAGTGCTGTTTTATTCCTTCGCAGAAACACTTTGGGCTCCTATGAAGGGCAGGAAGTGCGAGTGAGGGGTGTGTGTGTGCCTTCCCGGGTTCTGGCAGAGGGGACAGGGCAGCGAAGGCCTGGATGTGAGGAGCACAGTTGGAGGAGAGGAGGGGGAGGGGAGGGGGGGCAGGAGACTGATCTGGCACCTTTACTGAGGGCACTGGGGAGCCATGGAGGAGCTTAGAGCAGAGGAGGAATTCAGACCAGAAGAAAAGGCCTGTTAACTGTGCTGCTGGGCCAGCAGATGGCTGCTGCGGCGGGGGTGGGGCTCCGGGTGGGGAGGAGAGACCCTGGAGGGCTCTGGAGGAGCAGGGCTCAGAGCCCAGAGGGGCCACACCCCGGCCCAGATCCCACAGCAGCGGGGCTGCCCCAAGCCCTGAGCCTCTTTGGAGGAGGAGAGGGTGAGATTCGCCAGCTCCAGCAGGAGGACTGAGCTTGGGAGACACCCTCCTGCACAGCCCAGAGATCGTGTCGCCCTCATCGTCACGGTGGTGTCTGTCTGCTCAGAGGCAGGGGAGGCAGGGACGTCCTGTTCGCCAGGGAGCCTGCGGTGGGACAGAGCGGGAGGCGCAGGGAGTGGCCCATGAGTCAGTGCGCGTGGGCTCGCAGGCGGGGGCTGGCGGGTGGGAGGGGTGGGCGGACGGAGGTGTGAAAATACGCGTGGGTGGATAGAAATGGGATGGGTGGGCAGATGGACGGTGGGTGATGGGCGCGGGCTGCTTGGGGGTGCATACACGTGGGGTGGGGTGGACTTGGTGAATGGTGGATACAGGTAGGACGGGTGGTTGGGTGATGAGAGCGTGAATGGATGGATGGATGGATGGGTGTGGGGGATCCGGAGGGACACGGGTGTGCGTGTACAGGATGGTGCCGGGCGCGGGCTGGATGGGGAGGACAGGGCCTGTCTAGGGCACCTGTCCCATCCGTCCTCGCTGCCGAAGACGGCTGATCGGCTCCTTCACGGAATCTGCTTGCACTCTTGGCTCTGGTTTTTGTTTTCATGAGATCTTGGATAAGCGCCTCCATCCTTCCTCAACCTGAGCCGCTGGGTGACAGGTGAAAAGTATCAATAGCCCCTTACCAACAGGTGTGACTGTGAGCGCTGCACCAGGCCTCGTGGAAAGGGCTGCGGCACTTCCCCGCATGGGGCAGCGCCCTGCACTCGGGGTCTGGCAGCCAAACAGTCAGGAGGGTTTATTCGGTCCCTGTTGTGTCCACCAGGCACTGAGCCTGGCTCTGGATACCCCAGCAGTCTAGGGATGAGGAAATGACAACACTCACACACAAATAAAGTTTAATTGTTGTGCGCTGTCGAAAGATAAGCTATGCCTTACCTTGGCAATGAAAATGAGGTGGCGTCTGAGATGAGACTCGAATGGCAGATGAGAAAGCTGTTGCTCTAAAGGAAAGAAAGGGGCTGGTGAGATGGCTCAGTGGTCTAAAGCACCTACTTAGAACAAGCTTAGCAAAGCACAGGGACCACGGTTCAATCCC